TGATAGCCCTAATGGAGCTATTGGTGGATAATATTAGTGGTATTGAAGTTGTTGTGTGTGGTTAATTTGACCGAGTAAGTTCATTGAATTAATTAAGATTTAATTTTCATGATTATGATTTCATTTTGTTTAGAAATTTGTTTTGCAAGCATTTTGTGTTCAAAAATTTTGCCTAAATGAGGGTTTAACAAATTTGTAGGTAGATAAGAAAATTTTGAATTATATTTAAAATAGTTTGTATTAAGAATTTTAAAAATATTTTATTTAGGTTAATATAAAATATCAATTAGGGTTAAAAATTATTGTATTTAGTTACATGTTAAATATGTAATTTAATTTAAAAATTATTGTATTTACGTAAATATAAAATATTAAATAAAAAATTGGATTAGGTTTATATATAATATTATAAATTAATTAACATGTAATTTATTATACATAGATATCAATTTAGCATTAATTAAATATTATATTATTTTAATTACAATTATAATTTAAATTATAAAATATTATGTTAAGTGTTGTAAATTCAATAATATATTTTTTAAATTATATAATCTATTTTTTAAAGGACTTGTAAAATGGCATAGGAGAATTATTGGTGAGAGTTTTTGTTAATGAAGATGTTGATAATAATATTTTTGGTGGGGACTTCGATTTAATTAAATACATACAACAACAAAAAAACTTTATATTGAAGTAGGAGTAGTGACTATCATTTGCAGCACTAAATGTGTTACGTCTTTCAACTCCAAATATTTTGGAGTTTGTTGCCCAAGAAGAGCATCGTCGACAAGAGTTGTTGTTGTACTTAGCGCACACAAAATAATAGTGTTATATTATTCGGATGGGACCTCAAGCATTCACTGCGTTATGTGAACAATTAAAGACAACTGGATTGGTACAAAATGCATTTCAATCAACTATTGAAGAACAAGTAGTTAAATTTCTTTACATTATTGGTCTTCCATTCAGAGTTATAATTTTTCGTTATATTTGTAGGAATGACTTCTTCTTCAAAAATACATTGAAGTGACAAGGACAAAAAAGGAAAAAGTGTTATTTTTTTTTATCATGGAGATCCTCCGCATCAAATTGAGATTGAGAATATCTTAAATCTCACATGTTGGTGAGTACACATAAACAAATGATGCAATATAATAACTCATTTAATGGAGAGAAAGTTTCAAGCCCAAAAGTAATGAATTTTCCATTTATCACCACATCGAGATTATATTTCCATAACCATATTTAGTTTCAAGGGGTGATATAATTTTGTATGTTAAATTCAAAATATTATGATGAGTTAGTTCGAGTTTTTTACACAAACCTAAAAATCGCAAAATGGGAGATTCTATACAGTGAGGTTAATAGGACAAACATCAAAATAATACCTATAAGAAATTTGCAAATCAATGACAGACTTTTGCATTATGTCCTTGTTTATATATTAATTCCTCGGATTACAAATTTTACAAAATTGTCACTGGAAGATATCTTTATGTTGTGAGCATTAAAAAGTAATATTTCGATTAATTAAGTGCATCATATAACGCAACACATGTTAAAATGCAAGAATAATAACATGCATCTTTCATATACTATATTTATAACACATATAATGGTACATTATGACATTGATTTGACTTTGAATTTCTCTGTCATGTTGGGTTAGACTCATTACTTTGGTAAAAGAACGTTTAATAAATTAAATGTTGTTGTGTCAACAACATGTGACAATATGGAAGGGTTAACCAGAAAGATAAAAATGATGACAATGAAGACGTTGCTATAGCTAAAAATGATGCAGCCGACCTTGGATAAGAAAACCCTGTCCACCATGAACCAACTCAACCGCATTCAGTCCTCGTGATGGTCAAATATTATACAAACTTGAGGGATTCAGAACATGCAAGCAAGAATGCAGCAGATAAAAGATGATTTAGATAATCTAAACCTAACTATTAGTACACGATTCATGATAGAATTAACAGTTTGAATGATTGATTTGATGACTTTCAAGACTCCTTTTAATAAAATGAATGTCTTAATTTGTTTTTTTTTTTATATTCATGTTTATTATTATGTATGAATAGAACATTCTGATATTACACTTTAAATATCTGTTTTTACTCGCTTTTGTATTTTTTATTTTTTGCGTATTTTTTCCATAATTTTATAATTTTTTATTATATAATTTATTTTATCAACTTTCATTCTTAACCATATACTTAAATTTAATTTAAGTTTATAATTAATTTTAAATAGTTTTATTTATTTAAATTATAAATTTATCTCATTTAAACAAATTAAGTCAGTTTTTTTTCAAATTAATTTCAAACTCATATATTTTATAATAAATTCATATAATTAATTAATAATAATTTTAAATGATATATCATATCTAATTTTAACATTATTTACTTAACCTATATTTTATTCTCAAATATTTAAGAAAATTGCAAAATAGTAATCTAACAATTTTACTAATTAAATCTTAATTTTTAAGTTGACAAATCAATTACATCATTTACAAACTTTCATCTCATTTCTAAGCAATTTTTCCTTAATCCAAAAATCTCAATTTTACCTCTTTTATCCTTCAAATCTAGTCATTTTCACTCCTTCTAATCCAAACACACTGTAACTAAATTAGAGGATGAAGTTGAGAGAATGATAATTTTGAAGAGAAAAAGATGTGAAAGTAAGGTTGTTTGGATTAAAGGAAAGATAATAAAAAGTATAAGAAAATGAGAGAAAATTATACGAGAGTTTGTCAGTTTGATAATTATAAATGATAAATAAATATTTTAATAAAAAAATCAAATTATCCTTTGAATAAAAATTATTATTATTAGTATAACTTAAAATATTTTACTTATTTAAATTATTCTTATTTTAATTATGATTATTATTATAATAATTATTTTATTAAAATAATTATTAGTATTACTATTATTATAATAATTATTATTTATATATTTAATATTATACATATTATTAATATTATTTAAAATATTATAATTATATAAATTAATTTTATTTTGATTATTAGTCTAATTATTATTATATTTATTTTTATTATTAAAATAATTATTAATATATTAATAATTACTTATATATTTATTATAATTATTATTATTTTATTATTATTATTATTAAAAGTAAGAATTAATTCTCATATAGAATCGTGTTTGAATAATTAATATAAAACATAATCGATTTTACCTTTCAATAATTGATTCTCTTTAGTTAAAAATTGATTATTTTAATTGAGAATTAAATTCTCGTAAACGAAGAATCAATTATCTATTATACAAGCGTACAAGAATTGTTTCTCGTTAATTCAATTTAGACATTAAGAATCGATTATCTATCATCTTTCTTATTTAAAATTAATTTTCTTCATACAAAATTCGATTATTTGTCACTAACACACATGTCACACACAAATAACACCCATCCTCATTATGCAAACGACCAATACATTCATTATGAGCCAGAAAATCATAATTCTCACACATAACCAATGTATTCACCCTCACAAACAACAAAGTTATATAATCAAGAGCATTTTCTCTCACATATTTAATAGCGAATTCAAACTTAATAAGGTGACGAGTATTGTGATTAACATGTATTAGAGATTATTCTCTTCTCTGTCATGAAAAAGATGTTATCCGAAGCAAAATTATAGTTCACGTGAAAAGATTCCTCTGCCAGCAACTTAGATGTCATGCACAATGATTTACATGAGACGCATTAATAAGGATAAGAACGTAAATACAACTTCTGTGACTTGTATTTCTCTTTATTATAGCATTTCTCCTTATTATAGGAGACACACTTCATTTGCTCTCTCTCAAGTTCACAAACAAAATTTATTCCTGTTCTTCCATCTGCACGAAGAGGACATCAGTAAATGCAAACACAAGCTAAGAGACTAAATTAAACACTTTTGATTATTATTGAGGGAATTGACCGTTAATATTACATATATATATATATATATATATATATATATATATATATATAAAATAATTCACAGATATATTGAAATAATTTCTTCTTTTTAAGAGGGATTACTCTTGGCACTTACTACTACTCCCTTCAAAAAAATCAAATCTAAAGAAAATGAGTTTAAGAGAATAAATTTACTCCGATTCCAATAAATAGTGTGCCTTTCCGCTGAATTTTAATTACACATTTATAACTGGGAGTCAGTTTTTTTTGTAATGTTATCTAAATAAAAATCAAGATAGTTTAATCACCTGTAAAATTATTGAAATTACTATTGCCTGGTGACAAAAAGTAACAGATCTACAATCATCAACTACATTTTTTTTTCATTTGGGTTGTCACACTCAGTATGAAGCTGACGCAACTATAAAAAAAAAAGGTTAAAATAAACATATCAGCAGTATCTCATGCCCTACTCCTTTATTTTAAACACAACATTAAAAAATTACATTTCAACTCAAAAAACACCTGGCTCAAATTAATTCTTTACTGATATCAAAACTATAACAATAATATTTTTTAAGTAAAAATCAATAAAAAGATATGTAAACCACAGGGAACTAAAGTGTAGATTTCTTTAGTTATGACTAAAAGATAAAATGAATTATTCAGGCAAGGAGAAATGCGAAGGGGTCGAAACTTTAAATTTAACCTAAATTAAACTTTCCGCAACAAAATAAGATATCCAGGATTTCTCCTTACCAGGTTTGAATTTCCATTGTACATTAAAAACTATGAGAAAGAAAGAAACAAAGGAAAGGGGGTCAATCGAAGTCGCATAATGAAGTGCCTTGTTCCTTGCCACACTGTCTTTGGTTTCGTTGGCAATGAAGGAAGGGACCATGCTTTTATATATATATATATATATATATGCTGTGAATCATGCCAGACAGCAGAACGATAAGCCTTTGACCTAATACGAAGAGTGAAAGCCTCCATTCAGCTCACTGACCTTAGTTTGTATAGATCGGAAGGAAATGTTAATTCTTCCCACCCTGGATAAAAAGGGTAAAAATAAAGATAGATCAGAACTCAGTAGTATTTTTTAAACAAGATATGTAGCACATGATAGAATGAAAAGAAAGCAGCTATCAAACTTTCCAGAGTTTTTCAAGCCACAATTAAAGTATGTTGAAGTTATTCTACGAGCAAGAAATCCAAACGCCCAAAAAATTTGAAAAGGGAAATCTACGTTGGTAGACAACTAAAGGAGCTTGAATATCAACAAACATCAGACTCCTTGACCACGTGAAGTTATAACCCTCGTTACGAGAAATTGCCCCAAAGAGAATTTCACTCATGCCCCTTACAACACAACACAGGCCCTGCACCGTGGTTATTATTTCACTAGAGGCTCATAACCCCAAAGGGAACGTAGCAAACATAGAAAATTGGTTATTTGGTTTAAAAGTCTAAGATAATCCTGAACAGTGCTTCTGGGTAAAGTCCCCCCTAGGCTTGGATCTCTCTTCAACAGATTAAATCGACACTAATTGATTCATATGTGCAATAACTAACTTATGTAATACATATAGATCATGTTTGCTAATAACCTAGAAGTTATGGTACAGTTTACTTATTGATTAAAACTCAAGTTCGCGAGATACTTGCATTAAAACATACAAAAACATAGATCCACAAACATAAGCATAAATACGTATGTATTAATGAACAAGAATAACTCCAATCTTCTTACCTTATGAGGTGGAGTTCCCGGTCTTGATGTGTTGTTGCCAAATCCACCTTTCCCTTTCTTTTCAGAAGATTTAAGTATTTGGAAAGAGCATGTCAAGGTGTCATCCACACTCATCATTGCACCAGCATTATCAAATTCACCACAGTAATTTGGGGCGGAGAATATTGTCACTAGCTGACGCTTGGCAAAAAACTCATATCCATCTTCTACAACCTGAAACACAAAAAACCCAAAATTTTAAAAGGAAATCATCAAACCAGATTCAACAATTTTTTTTAGAGAGATTCACCAATTCATTAAAAAGAATTAAGACTGATGACCCCAGCATATATCCAATCATCAGAATAGACAGATAGAAAGACACGATAACAAAAATCGGGAACTAAAGAAAGAATCATCAATCAAACCGAAACAGATATGACCAGATATTTATGAGGTGTCAAAGTTGATGAAACAAAAAAGAAAGAGAGAAAAAAAAAACAAAATGTAACTAGAAATCCAGTAAACTATAAAACATAATTTTTTATTACAATACTCGATTCATGAGGTCAAAACCCAATTTCATCATATCCTCATGCATTTTGTCTCTTATTTCCCCTCACTCTCGGTCATCAAAATTAATCAATCTACTCAATGCATGTGATCATTTTTCATTTAGCAATACGAGTAATGAATATAGCTAATTGCAAACACATACATCATTCATACCCAACTATAGAGAAATTCACAAAACTACAAGTTTATTTACCTGGTGAGCTCTGCAAATTAGATCAAGATCATGTTGTTCAAGAAATTCAACGACCTTGTCAGCCCCAAATGTAAATGATACACCTCGGTCATTCTCTCCCCACCCATCAAGATCTTTATCAGGATCAGCCCATAGAAGGTCACAGAGAAGACCATGATCTGGCACATCAATAGGACGGGCAATATTCCGTATCTGATCCAAGTGTTTAAGATCAGGTGAAAGTCCACCATGCATGCAAAGGATCTTCTCATCTATCAGAGCAGCAACAGGCAGACAATTAAAGCATTCAGTAAATGTCTTCCAGATGCGAACATTAAACCTCCTCTTACACTCATCATAGAAACCATATATTCGGTTGATGGAGGCACACTCATGGTTACCCCTGAGAAGAAAGAAATTCTCCTTGTATTTGACCTTGTATGCAAGGAGTAAACATATTGTCTCTATGCTCTGCTTACCACGATCAACATAATCTCCAAGAAATAAATAATTTGCTTCAGGTGGGTATCCCCCATATTCAAAAAGTCTTAAAAGATCTGAGTATTGGCCATGAACATCTCCTGCAAATGAATTATTTAACACAGATGCCATCTACAATTTAACATCTACATATAACATAGTGGTCAAAAGCAAAGGAAGGGCAACCTTAAGGTTCTAGGGCTTTTACTGCCTCAAACCAAAAAGTGCCAAAAAGTATACACCTGAAGAAACAAGGCATTATAAATAGAAAAAGAAAACAGTAAAAACGTAATCATTTTAAAATAATTTTCCATAAATCAACTACTCAGACATAACATTACTACTTAAATAGAACTAAAAGGATATTCCCATGCAAAGCACAATAATAAGTTGAAAACAGGCTCCAAGTTCAAAATTTTAAAAATAAAATAAATGCAGCAACCAACGACCCAACCTTAAAATTTAAATTCATGAAAAAGCAAGTTAGATGGGTAGGCTTTGGGAGTTTTCACAATTATTGGCCATTTAAGCCAAGTACCATGGAAAAGTCATCAAGGCATGCAACTTGCTCGAACCACAAAAACATCACAAGGCAGCAGAGAAGCCTGACACAAGGGACACCTTGTCTACAGCCCCAAAAAGGCAACAATCCCTTCTGTTATCTACCCCTTGGTCCCCCTTATTGTTCCCTATCAGGTATATATGTCACACTGACAGAGAAACAATGAACTTACAGAAACCAGTTTCTGTGGGTAATAATGAACCTATTAGTATAGAAGTTTAGAAGGCATAAACTCTAGCCGACAACACATTAAAAAAATTCTTCATTTTTGCAGACTCCTCAACACACACTTTCACACAAATGAAGAGTTAACGATTGTGCAAAAGCAGCTGATTATCTCAGAAGCAGTAGTAGCTATCACCATTGATCATACTTCCCTTTGCTCCTTTCCCACTTCCCACCTGTCCACTAAAACAGCCCCAAGAAAACCCAACAAAAGAGTGAGCAACAATCCCAACTTCAGCACACACCAACCGAAAAGCCCCATAGCCAATTCAATGAAGCAAAAAAGTTACCAAAGAAGCATATCGCCATAACCTAAAACCTTCGTATTCACACCAAAACCTAATCTCTCGCTAATTTCAATTCCATGCAAGCAACGATAATCCCAAATCCATGTAAAAGAATTAACAAAATCACATGCATGTTTTCCCAACGCTTTCCGTTCAATTACACAATCAACACTTCACAATTCACAATTATTACAAAACAAAAACCAACAAAACAACAAGCAGTATCATAAATTTTAGTTAACCAATCAACTAATCAAAATTATGAAAAAAAATGAAAGTATACCACAAATCTTAATAGGTGCCTCGAGTTCGAGAAGATTGGGTTGACTGAGAAAGATCTCTTTAGAGGAAGCGCAGAGTTGTTTAATTTCCGCCTCCGTAAGCTGCACCTGCTTCGTGGTTCTACCGTTCTTCGCCGCAACAAGCCGGCGGATAATATCGTCAATCAAGTTCTCGTCCATCCCGAGAATTTCAAAAACGAAGGATCGGATTCTGGGTCTAAGAAGGAGAAAGAAAACGGTTATCGCTGCTTTGAGATTAAGCAGAAGACAGAAGAGATAAAGAAGGCAAAACAAAGGGTTTAACGAACGAATCCAAAACGCAAAACGGGATGAGAAAACGGAAGAAGGAGCAAAACGACGAAGGAGAAATTGGAATAGGCGCCGTTTCCCGCTCGCAAGACGGAAATGACAAACGGAGTTGTTTAGAGAGGCATCGACGAGATTAATTTCGTAGGTTTGTACTTTTGGGTTTGGCGGAGGGGAGTGGCCACTGGTACCAACCCTACCCTAGTTCTCCTTCCCTGCGTGACAAGGACTAATAATAATACACATTCATCTTCCTATTCATTTTTCTCTCTATGGAAATTGCAAAAGGAATAATATTAATAATTAATTTATCATCATTTCTAATTAATAAATATTTACTTTAAGCGACAATAAATAAATAAATTGAAATATGATACCTTACTTTACTTTCCTTCTATGTTGATTCCTGAATCATGGACTCAAACCCTATCTGAAACATTTTACGAACTGTGACCCCACTCCTCGCACGTGCAATGTGTCGCCACGTCATCTCTTCTTCCCCCTACTGTGCTATAATTTTTGTTCCTGCTTCAATTCTTCGAACTTTTTTTAGCCCACTACACCATGATCACTCTATGATGATCATAATCAACATCTTCGGTTCCTCAGTGTTCTTCACATGGGATTTTTGTCATGAATATCTCAATCTTAAATCCGTTCTCAGTTTATGTAGATATCCCCTAATTGGTTTTAATTTTTAAAAATAATTATTAGTTCTTTTATGGGAAAGTTTGTTAGTTTTAGAAATATGGGACAATTTTTTTAAAGTCGTGATAATGTTGCGAAAAAATAAATGAAAATCGAAAGACAATTAAACTAAAATTTAATAAAATATGAGATAATCTCAAGGTAGATAGATATATCAATTTTTCAAAACATTGAAATGATTTTTTTTCTGACAATAAATACTAATTATTATTTGTTTAATTTCATGTTTCTCTTTATCAATTATTAATTATCAATGTTTTATTGTTGTTTGCTTTTAGTATATTTTATAATTTAATTATTTAATATATATATTAACACAATGACTTTAATTTTGGGAGAAAGCTATTAATTCCGTTTTTTTTTATGTATTGGGAGCATAAAATTATAACTCTTATAAATGTTATACAGTTCGATATTTTTTTTATCTGATAATACATTTTTAAATTTATTGTTATAGTGAATTTTTCACATGAATTATATAGAAATAATTATATTAATATATTTGGTGCTTTATTTATATAAATTAAAGTTGACATATCATATATTTTTTTGTAAGAGTATATTATGATATGAATTATTGGATCACCTTGTTATTGTTCAATTTTAATAAATTTTGATATGAATAAAAATAATATAAAATTGTAATTTATTGGTTGAATTAATTTTTTATATAAAGTTATTCTCTCTCTCTCTCTCTCTCTCTCTCTCTCTCTCTATATATATATATATATATATATATATATATATATATATATATATATATATATATATATATATATATATATATATATATATAAAGCGATGAAATTTAAATCATCTCCATTTATATCAAAACATAATTAGTTGAATGTTAAATATATAAAGTATTGATTAAGACAAATAGGGTAATGCACGATATTTTAAAATAATAATATTTTTAAGAACGTAATTAAGTTAAATATTTATTTTATTATTTTCTACAAACAATATAACCATATATAGTTTATTTTTAATATTATCAATGGTATTTCAAATTTTTTATTTTTGTTCAATAAATTCCTTTTTTAAAATTTACTTCTTTAAGAAAATAATTATAATTTACTTCAGTGTGTTATGATTTAATTTTAATATATTATTAATTCAAAAATTTAACTTATACACAATACAAAAATATCAAATATAATAAGTTTTAATATATTAAAAGTACGTAACAATATAGTAAATATACCTTGTTATAAACACGAATATGTCATTTAACAAAAATAATATAAAATATATTAATCACAATATACTAATAAATAAATAAATAAATGTAACCATCATATTTATATAAAATAATAAATACATTAGTTAATTGAATTATATACCTAAATATAGTTGAATTATCTTAAATTTAAAATTCTTTTATCGAGATAATATTTAATATATTTTAATATTAAATTAACTTTGATATAAGTAACGAATAAAAAAACTAAGAAAAATGTTAACATCTAAAGTTTATATACAAAAAATTACAACAATGACAACAGTTTAGAAATGTTATATTTGTACAAATATTAAACAAAATTTAAAATTGAATTAATCATATTATTTTGGATTTAAGAGTTAAATGTGACAGAGCAAAAAGTACAGGTCCTAATTTATAGAGATTTTGTGGAATGGTTTTAGCATCAGAAATGGCTACTATTACAAATTTGCATAAAAAAAAATACTATATTGAACCTACCAAACATATTAATTTAAATAATTTTGTAAAATATTTTCCTGAATTTAACAATATAAACAAAATTTATAATTTAACAAACTTTTAATTTAATATATATATATATCCCAAATTGAGTATTACCAAATATATTAAAAGAAACTTGAAAAAAAGGGACTTCTTCTAGTAATTTATAAAATAATTTATCAAAATTATTATTTTTCCTAAAGTGAATATTGCCAAATATATTATCACCTACAAAATAATAAGTTAGGATGTGGAAGAGTTTCTTAAAACATAATAGAATTATTTAAGACCTTATTGTCTAAGCCCCATTGTCATAAAGCAAAATTGATCGATTACTTGTTGATAAGTATTTATCATGTAATATTCACATGGACGTGATTTTTCTAACAAAAGATAAATAAGATAAAATTTTCATGAAAAGTTGTAATTGAGTTATTTTCATTAGTTATCTTATAGAATTTATTTTAATAATGTTCACTTTATAATGATATATATATATATATATATATATATATATATATATATATATATATATATATATATATATTCCAATAACATTTTCTTTAGCCTGTTTTAATTATGACACATTATGAAGACAAATCATAAACCTTTTTAAGTAAAAAGTCTACAAATTTTGATATTATGTGTCTGCAGATTAATTTCATATAAAATTTTTTTCTATTTAAATGTAATTTAATTTTTAGTTTAAAAATAATTTAAACAAAATAAAATTAATATCTATATTTTGATTTAGATGATTTTTTTATAAAATTATTAAATATATAATAATAAAAAATTTATTTAATAAATAAATTTATTATAAAAGTATATATAAAATTAATTGTGATATTCATACTTTTAGTTTATTTTTATATATTTTTATATTCAATTAAAAAAACAAATATATATCTTAAATTATAACAAATTAATTAACTCGTCATAAAAATATTATTTTATAATTTAATTTTAATATTACATATTATAATTTTGAATTAATTTGATTTGGTTAATTATTAACTATCAAATCGAAAAGATCAATTTTAAAAAATTTGAATCTAAACTAAAAAAAAATCAGATTTAATCAATTTTTTATTTTATATTTAAATTTATTCAACTTTAAAGACCTTTAAATATGATGAAAAACATTTTATACTGAAATGTTAGATAATTAAAAATAAAAAAATTAAAAATACTAAGGATCAAACTAAAATAACATCTCATAATATAGGAAAAAAATCTTTAAACTATAAATTACATTACTTACTGTATGCAATTTCGTCCAGTACAAGTTTAAATAACAAAAATACATATTAATTTATAAGATAAATTTCAAATAAAAATATATATGGGAATATTTTTTCCTTATCAAATAAAATGTGTCAAACACATGGTTTTTTAATTTGTAAAAAAGATAAATATATAATTTATAATAATTTACATAATCTACTCAATAACTAAGGTAGACTCATTTGACATATAACCCTACATTTAGTAAACTAACCTAGATAGAGACATCCTTATATTTTGTTTTATTTATTTTTCACTTTATTATCCTCTTAAAAGGTATTCCAGTAGGATTAATTAACTAATTTGACTAATGCATGTGATTTAAACAAATTGAACAATAAGATTCACATGTCATGTTTCAGTACATGTGATTTTTGGTACCCACACGTACACATTGTTGATGACGCTATCTGTTCGATTTTTTGTCAACACGATGTTTGAACAACGCATGCATACATCACAACTCATGAACCTATGGGAGGGTATTTTTGTAATAAGAATATTTTTTTAACTTAATTATTAATAAATAAAATGTATAAGTTAACCGTGTGAGAAAAATTAGTAATTTTCTGATTTATCTATCCTGGACGCGGGAATCAGTAAAATAACCATACCAAATTGTACCATTCTTTTATTAAATTTAATGCAATTAAGTTTCAAATTTTGGACTCAAAATTTTGAACTAAGTTAAAATAATTTTTTACTAACCAATTTAGGTGCTACTTTATTTTACTTTACATGTTTTTGGTGCACTTTTCACCTTACATTTTTAATAAAAAATTAATATGATAAATTAACTTTAATGCATTTGGCATTGTCACAATTCATAACTAAAATTCAAAATTACTAATCTAAAACAACTTCCTTCCAAGTGATTTGGATGTTATTTTTTTCGTTCATAATTATGTAACTTTACAGTTTACATTTTTAATATCAATTAACTACAAAGTCAAATAATACAAAAAATGTAAAATAACTTTTCAAAATTTTGTAATAGTCAACGGATGATTACTAGAACAATGTGCATAATTTATAATTACAACATTAATAATTTATATTAATTTCCATAATCACATCACATGTACAAAACAGACTCTTGAAATAGATGAAGTTCACTTTAGTCATAGATGGTTTTAAACAGTCTTTTTTTTTTTAATTTCCTATACATGAAGTAGGTAAACTACAAAAGTAAAGTTAGTACATTTATTAGCAATTTTTTAACCCCATAATTAGATAAACATAACATGGATTAAGTTTTGATTACTCAATTAATATATAAAATTAAAAAACTTTTTATTTTAGCCTTTTTTATTTAAAGTATGTAAAGACTATAGTAGAGTATATCTACAATGTAAATTTTAACCCATTTTAGTTGTAGGAACTAAAAATGTTAAAATGATATCTATAAGGAGTAAAATGAGATGTTTTTAAATTTTAAAGTATAAAGACAAAAAAAAATATTTGGCTTAAAGTAAATGTGTAATTAAATATGTATTGTGTCTTTAAAAAGCCTGTTAATGTTGTGATAAACCTGAATCAATTTATTATTGCATTAATTGATGGGTGAAGAAAATGGATAATGCCACGTCAAGGAGGTTAAAAAAAAGCCTCAAAGAAGATAAAAGGGGCGTGCTATAAAATAACGTAGAATTGCCCTCACCGGAATATTCCCCACCGACGAGACGTTAAAGACCATTTCCCGAAAACTATATATAGCGATCTTTGAGTCCCAAAATTTGCCCTAAAAAATCTTCAACAGCCGCAACATGCTCCTTCGCACCAAACACTCACTTTCTCTCTCCTCACTCCCCCCTCGCCACCGCCACCACCAGATTCGCGAAGGGGTTTAGGGTTCCGTCCATGGACGCTGTCGAATTGCCGTTACCACTTGACGTGGCACCCGCGCCCAAATTGATGGGATCCGAGGGTTTCTCGCTAATTCAAAACGGTTGCTCTCTCTCATTATCCTTTCCCCAACTTTTTTTTTTTTTTCATTTCTTTTATTTTCTCCACTACGTTTATATTTTCTACCCTCGTATTGTTTTGTTTTTGTTATTGTTGTAAATGGATGGGCGTGTGTCGTTGGTTTTGGGGTTTTTGTGATTTGATCTGCCATATTATGATGTTTGTTTGCTGGTGGTCTTGACCGTTATGAGAAGATGCAAATTTGGAATCTGGGAAAATGTAATTTAGTTTTATGCGGTTTTGTACTGTCTTTGACCTGGATATTGATAAATTTCACATCATTACGGCTGGAAATGAACCCAGGGACAAGTGCTGTGCTCTGACTATTACGGCGGCTGTGTACCTTAAATAAGTAACGAAAGGTTGAGCTTGATGATGGGAACATTGTTGTATTTTTTTTGTCCATTTGTTGGAGTGTGGATTTGATGCATGCCATATATGTGTGTTAGTTAAATGTTCAGAGTTGGGAGAACAATGCCTAGTGGTGGAGAATCTGGAGATGCTCACCTCTTTTTGCTAAATGCTTGGATTCCAGTCATCCCCCAAACATGGGGCCAGATTAAACCAATCTGCTTGTTTCGCACTTAGCAGTTGTTTAGCTTTCAACACCCGTTACTGTCCAATGCTATTTGATAACCGTTTTGTGGACACATGAGGTGTTGGTTGAGTTGTTCCTCTTTTGGTTTTGCCTATTAATTTCTGTCTTAGCTATATACTCATCATCATTTTTTTTTTCATAATTACACAGTTTCATTGACGCACTGTTATTATGCCAGATGTTGCAAGTATTAAAACAGCAGCTGAGTTTCCCTCCTGCAATGAATTTGTAGAAACTAAACTCTCTAAGAATTCTAGTCAGCTGTCCCATCTCAAGGGTGAAGAGGCATCCAAAAATTCGTCTAGTGGTAATGGAAAAAATTGTTCTGTAATTAATTCCAGATTGGAAGGTGTAACGTTACAAAGAAAAACTGCAAAATCAAGCAGGAGCAATAGTTCATGTTCAAAGAGGACACGGATATCCCAGCCAGAATATTCTTTGAATCCTATTGGAATTGAGGAGTCAAAGGATATTTCTGATAAACTTGGGTCAAATAATTTAAACTGTACTTCTCCAGGTATTTTTCCCCAAACAAGCCATCGGTGGTTTTCTATCTATATGCTCTTACCCTTTTGGTTCCTTGATTTTCTTTTGGTGCAGAAAAAAGTCAATTACCAAAGCAAAAAAACAATGCTAGCAAACGTGGTGAGAAGAGGAATTTTAAAATGCCTTCTGCGAAGGCTAAATTTGAGTCATCCTCTATGAAGATGGGTACATCAATATTCAGTTCTACTGGTGGGGGGAACAGCTTTTTTGGTATGTAATGTAATTAGTCGTTGGCCTATTGTTCTCTTTCTTCATAAATCTCCTGTAATTTCCCTTTCTTCATTAACATTTTTCCCCTTACAATTTACTGTGCATCTTGGACATTGTGATTGAAGATTAACATGTTTGTTAGTTAAGTTAGCTAACAATTCAGGTCATACCATTTAACATATGAGAAAAACTCGTCTGCTATTGTCTATTTAACTATGCTATCTGGAAATAAATACGTTGTGTATTCTTTTGGAAACCAAGTTGATGACACTGCTGAGGCTTTTACTTTTACCATTGTGGTTGTAATGGTATTGAAGCCAGAAACAGGTGAATTTTGATTATGTGCTTATCCAGCTTAAAGGCCGTAAGATGTGTTTATATTGGTCATAACAAATATGCTTGAATTGCAGTCTTCTTACAGTAATGCCCTTGATTTCTCAATAATTGCACCTTATTGCACTATTCTTGAATTTTGAACGCAATATCATTTGGGTTGGTTATACCTGTACCAGGATGGAGACAGTTTATTAATGTTCAATTTTTGCACATGTAGAAGTTTCGAGTATCATTTATTAGTTTTTAATTATAATTTTCTATATTTATTTCTGATTCATCTGATTATGCAAACATATGAAACTTTTTGCTTCCCTAATAATATGATTTTGTATCGTTAGCTATATGTCTGAGAATTAGTACCTAACCACATGTGACCACATCAGCAAATGATATATATGTTCTAACACTGTTAATATACAATTCCAAGCAACTAATATACGCTGTTTGATTAAACGAGTCTAAGAACATCTAGCTTCTCTACCTGAATTACTTGTTTGGGTTCTTTTAAAGCTGTGATTGCTGCGTGAAACATGAACAAATTTCAATCGTTTTTTTATTGAACACTGTTGCCAGGGCTATATGGTCTGAAACATGATTTTCATGATCTCACAAAGCTTATGGATGAACCACCGTTAGATGAGCTCCTTAGGGGGACTTTTGACTGCCCCATTTTAAGCAAAGATAAAGGTAAGAAAACATCAAATATGAGTGTAAGTTTTTTTAGTTCAATTAGAAAGGCGTGCTCTATCCTTCAGCTCCCGAAACCTGTTCAGTCCCAAAATATATCTGAGATGGATTACTCCTCCAACATGAAAATGTCCGCATGCCAATTGAGCTCAGTTTGTTCAGCAGAAAGTGTTGGTAATGGAGATAAAGGGCATTCATTAGATATGTCTTCATTTCAGAAGGTTAGTATTAAATTTTTTAAGTATCCATTCATTTTTGGCTTTAAAGAACTAATGGACCTCGGTGCTGAAGGCTCATGATAATGTGAAAGTATGTGAGGGTCATTGAACACACTCTTACTTTTGCATATGCAAAGAGGCTAGAGCGCCAAGCTCATTTTTGGCTTTGATAAAATAAAGTTTTAGTTGTAATGAATAGCGTCATATATGCTTTATAAAGGCTGCCCCATCATATTTGGCTTCTCCACTCACTACTAAATGATGCTTTTGCTTGGTCATGTATGCCTATTCTAATTTACTTCCACTGATAATAAAAGTGTATATAATATTAATGTCATTTTGAACTTACTAGCTCTTGACATCCAGGATCATTGTAGGCAAACAGAAAGTTCAACTAGTCCGCTTGACTTTCCATTACATCAACCTAAGGATGTTTTGGAACGACTTGCACTCCATCCATTCCAGGACTTGGAGTCTTTGCTTCTTGATGTGTCCAAGCCTGGTGCTACCACAAAGAATAGTAATGACCAACGTTCAGGCAAGCAGGTGTCTCGTCGGCTTAGCCTTCCAGCCTTTCCATGGTCACATGCTTTTGGTGGCCATTCTAGAACCAATTCTGACGCAGTTAAGTTATCAGCAAGTAAAAGCATGTGCCAAGGTAAATGGTCGAGGATAGGTGTCATTTCCGGCTCTGCAGATACTGATCGTAGTTCCTTCACAAACCTTGATTCATTCAGTTATGATCAGAACCTTGTTCCTTCATCTGGTAGTTCAGAAAAAAGGAATTTCTCATCTTTATTTGCTAATCTTCCTTTCCATCAGTTGGATTCTTCATCTTCTGTATCTTGTTCAGAAGACTCTCAGGCTAAAGCAGGTTAATGATTTTCTTAGGCTACCTGAATTTGTTACTGTTTATCTCGAGTTTTTTTTTTCTTCTTCTTATTCTCCTCTCTCTTTCTCTCTGTAAATAATCTGACCCACTCTGTTTGAAAATACAGAATTTGGAGGCCAAGTTGATACAAAAGAAAACGGTATGTTGTTATTGAGAACAACACATTTTTTTGCATGTGTACACTTGTTTAACTGTTTTGTAAATCTGTTTCTTATAACCAAAATTTTTTACTAAAGTTTCTAGTGGAGCAAGTAATCCTGCTTAACATAGTTTTTTTGACAGATGAGCGTTGTCCAAAAATATTAACTGCTGCACAAACTCTCTGTGAAATTGCAACTCACTCACAAAGGCAGAGTTCGGATGGAATTTTAAGATGGCAAAGGAAAACTTCACAAAAAGCCATGAAAGCTTGCCACTATAAATCAAATGAGAAACTCGAAGAGATGTCTTCAAGATCAATTTCACTGATTGGATCTGACATGTTGGCCAGAAGTGTGGAGCAGATAATACCCTCAAAGAAGCCAAGGTTTTCCGTAGTCGAGAACAAGAACAGTGCTCATTCCAATAATGCTAAGAAAGGACACTTTGTATGGCCTATTTCTAAGTCAAGTAGATCATTACCTTGTAAACAAGTTAGAGACTCGTTTGTGGAAAACAAACGTACAAATGCCAGCATCTTGAAGCAACATTGTATGATGCCTCCGCCTGCAAGGGATTTAAATAAGGTTCATGATGGGCAGCAGCAGGTTGGAAAATTAGTAGTAATGGATTGGAAAAGGGGTAGAGACAGCACAGATTGATCAAACAATTATTGACTGTAGAAACATCAGTAGCTGGCAGCTGTTGTGTGATTAGCAAGTGTTAGGTTAGTCAAAGGCTACTTTGTACATATTGTTATGTTGTGGCTGCAAGCCTGCGATGAATTTGTTGTTAGTGTTGTTCAGAGGCAAACAGTATGCAAATGTTGTAACATTAAAACAGGTGTATAAAACAGCAGAATTCTTTGCTTACCGCAGAGTACGAAGCATTAGTGAGATTAAGTTCCCTCTATCTGTGTGTGTATCTTTTGTGAATTGCATGGTACCATCATTCTATACCATGCTTCTTACACTGGTTTTCTTCTGGGATAAATTCCAAATTTATGATGCTAGGCTCACGGTTTTGGATCCATTTCCATCCGGCCTCTCCATTAATACTTCTCTCCGTCCGAAATCTCAATCGTCCCTTATATTCTCTTTTCTGTTCAATTTTTGTATAAAAACAAATTTAAGGGTTTAGATGTTTACTGCATGATTGCTGCCGGAGGGAAGGGAACTGGAGAGGACCCAAATTTGTTCGCAGCCATGTGTGCAGGTGTTCCTCAAAACGGTGCAATATTTGCATATAGCGTTGCTTTTAGATATGGTAAAATGGTAGAGTTCCTTCTGGGTAATGCGAAGAGAAAGATCCTGCCGATAAATAAATAGAAGTACATCATGTTTATTATATCTCAAAAATATTCCGTCAGTTAAACTAAGTCTCATATAGAGTTTCCGGCGGTTCATTTATTTGACTATATTCTAGAGTTATTTTTTATTTTGCAATATTTTGTTCATTAATTATTCCATATTCTTTCATTTTCATATAAAAATTAGTTTTCTCACGAGTATGTTCACCTGTTTTGCCAAATAGAGATACATCTCCATGAGTTTTGAGAATGTTATTGATCAATTTTATAATTAATACTCTTTTACACACTCTAATTCCATCAAAAAATCTTATTTTTCTTTCAATAAGGAGCTAAAAGATCTATTACTTTATTTTTATTTCAAAAATAGATAATTTTATATCTAATTATATAAAGGTAGGCGCAGATCTATTATCGAGAGATGTTGTATCAATTGACTCTTCAAACATTTTAAAAATTCGTTTAGGGTTGTTCTAGCTACTAGAATACTTAGGGAAGTTATTGTGTCAATCACTTTTATTCCTCTCATTAGACCATACGTAGCATTCATAACTATAATTCTAACTCGTGTTTATTTCCTAACAGCGGTTGTACTTCACAAGTCACGTTAATTTGTTTACCAACAATATCTCCCCTCTTAACTATCGTTGTAAATATTAGACATTTTCTTGAGAAAAAGTTACATCTACTTCCGGATCAAATTAAAATATTAGACATCTTCTTGAAAAAAATGTTGCATTTGAATAATATGTCATAGCTTTTTTTCTAAGCACAGAAACTTCATGACCGGAATTTTTTTTCAAGCACAGAAATTTCATGACCGGAAGAATAGCACAGAAACTTCACGGCAGGAAGTAGTAGGATTTATTGGCATAGCCATTTTTTTTTTCCGAAAAAGTTTGCTTCTACTCTTTACACGTTATTTATTTATTGAATAACTTTTTTAATTTTAAGGCATTTATAGCGAGGACACAATATGATGATTTCAACTGTTTGCTTACTCAGCCTATTGTGAAGCACAAGTAGGAAATGAATTCCCATTCCTAAGATATATAGTTTGACAGGTTAAGCCATGTTTGGTTCCACGTCGTGAATGTACGAGACACCGGTTTTCCACCTCAAACGAAATAAACGTGAAAGCTACTCTGTGTAGCTTCTTGCTTGACAGTGTTCCTAGACATGATGAAATCATGCAACTATAAATAGTTTACTAAATTTCTTTTCTTTACATATATATATATATATATATATATATATATATATATATATATATATATATCTGCTAATTTACAGTGCCTTTGGAGTAAAATGGTATGCAGATATAGAAACAAGAAATGTGTTACTCTGAGAGTTCTATGAAAACATTTGATCCAGTAGTAAAACGAGTGCCATGGCAAAGCTAGGATCAAATCCAGGGTGAACAACCAACTGAAAAATCTCTATCCCGAAAGAGACGTCTTTGCTATTGGCCTCCTTTCTCTTGATTTCAGCCACGGTCTTCTTGTACTCATCGAACACTTTACATGTCCTATGTGCATAGGAGCCTTCAACTGTAAACGCCGCATGTCGTTTATCTGAATCCGAGGCTACGCGATAAACGTAGGCCTGAACCTTGCCTTTGCCGTCTAAAATATTCACACGCTTCCTTACACAACAAACCGGACTCTCCTTCGATTTACACGACTTACTCCTCCCACCCTGCTTCCCCATTTCCCCTTCATACACAAACCAGCTATCTACTAATCCCAGCTTCTGCAATAAAATAAATCAACGTGTCATCAACAATACCGTTTTAATTTGTTTAATTCTTAATGGCATCAACTATCAACCAATCAACATGTCATCACCCATACCATTTAAAACAGTATTTGATGTTTACACTTCTACTTAATCACAAATCACTGTAAACACGTCTTTGATTGGACGTCTGTACAACAAATTTGTACTGATAGTACATTTCAACTAAATTCTTTTACAAACCCCAAATACCATTTTATATAGTTAACAGACAAAGTACCACCATCCACAAATTTTAGTTGGTGAAAGGAAAGCAACAATGGCCGTATCCCATTTCTTTATGAAGTGATTTTACCAGTTACAAAAACTAGCCATTTTATCATTTCTTCATCTGTTTTGATCTTGAAAGTCTTGTACAGAAAAATTGATCAACTGATGCATCAAAGCATACAAAAAAAGATGAAGGGGATGCCATATATACATACCCTGGAGCGGCGCAGGGTGAGGACAGTGTTTCCTGTAGCGTCCATAAGAATGACTTCGTTGGGGTGCAAGATGTAATTGTCAACCCTATAAGCCAGGTTTCCATATGAATCAATCACCGTGAACCCTTTACAACTAATCACAAGGGATTTTTTCCAAACTGTTAGCGTTAAGGACGTGCACAAGCTTCCTTCCGTTAAAGGGTAATTATTTCTCTTCCCCTCATGCTCACCCTCTTGTTCCTCGTGCACTGCTCTTGACACAAACTTGAACCTAGGAAACACCCTCATGATCTTGCTCCAACTCCTTCTACTTCTATTTCTTTCAGTCTGAGGTTAACACTATCAATAATTCCTATGTAAAATCTAAGGGGTTGTATTATATATATGTAGCTACAACAAGGTATACCTACGTGTTCACACGACTTAGAATATGGACACGTTTCCAACGAATAAAATAGGTGATGAAGTTGGTGTAGAATTCTGCTTCTAACGCAAAGCCAAAGGCGACAATAGGGTTTAAGTAGCACTCAAGCACACAGGAACCTTTTGGAGGCTAGTGTGGGACGAGAATGTTGATGTGTCTTTATGAAAAGTTCCACGCTCTAGGACCACATACATGCATTGTTTTCTCCACTTCTTTGACTTCTTTCTTTTACTTTCGTAATTTTCTTTTTCTTTTTCTAAAGAAACAAACTAATGAACTGTAGGGTAGTATTTGAAATATGAAAAAAGACTACTACTTGGTAGCCATCTCGCTTGCATTCACACTTGATCACACCATTACTTTAGCAAATTCTAAATTCTTTAAGAAAGTGAAAAAAAAAAGGAGATAAATTCGGAATTTGAATTTTGAAATATCTTGGAGAATACAGGCTGATCATCAGTCTGATTGAGATCTTATGTTCAGGAACCAGCAAAAGTGTCCAAAATAATTTTGATCTTATCATTTATATAGAGAGACGTGTTACGAAACGATAATTTCAGTCGCAGGGATCAATTATGAAAGTTTTGGTATTTAGTATACATATGAACATTTTAGTCCACTAAAAAAATGTATGCAAAAACATACGATGCTCTTTCTTACATCACGCGTACTTGGTCCCCAAATGATAATATTTTTTGGTCCTCGAATGATAATCAACGTTATACTTTGTCCACTCAAGAATTGGTGTTTTTTCTTTAAATAAATAGTGACGGATTTAAAAAAAAAATGCGCATTGTATGAATGAATTTAGCGTAGCAGTCCACCGTCCTTACGTACCTTAAATTATAAATCCACATTTTTTTCTTATTTTGTTGGATTTAGATGGATGGGAAGAGATATTTGGAAAGATTCGAGGAAGGAACTGTTGATGATGAAATCATTGGTAACGGGTGTTGGAGAATGCGGACGCGTGTGCCGGCAAGGTTGCATCGCACACTCACGAATCTCATATCTTGTTTTCAATTTGTCAAAGGTTGAGTGCTTCAAAATTGTTTGTGTTTGTTGGCTACGTATGGTTTTGCGAAAGATACGGAAAAGGGTTTTGAGAAGTGCTTGAAGTTGTGGAGGGTGGACTCATCACTACTGAACTATGGAGTGATCAAAGAAAATTTGTAATTTTTCGAACCAACTTTTTGACTATTTTTATATCAATTCCCTTCATTTATCTCATTATCGCCAATATACAAAGCAAAGGATGATTTTTTTTTTTTTTGTTATAATTATTCTACTTCATATAAATAAATGTTACTAATGTAATGTAATAGCACGAAACAAAGAATGTTAATATCATGTTCTTAAGTTCTTGGAAACTAACAAAGCCATGCTCAAAACGCTATGTGGCTCTGTGGGCAAAATTAACCCTCATTAGTTTTTAGACTGAGAATTTACCATGACGATATATTTAAGAAATTTTATTTATATGTATTTATATTTAAGATGATGGACCTAACATCGATCAGCCTAGCCTAAGAACCTAATAGATGATGATAATGTTGAGAATACTGTTGGAGTAGATTGGGATGGAGGGATAAGAAAAAGGGAGAAACAAAATAATGAATTTTAAACACAAAAAATTGTTAATATCATAAGTGATAACGTGGATAAAAAAGAGAGAAAATTAAAGTATAAGTTATAAGATAAAAAAAAATGTTTATTTGTCCTGGGAATAATGAAAAAAGAGAAAAAAAAATTATAATGTCAAATCTCACCAAAACTAATATGATAATATTATATTATATAAATAATGATAATTTTTATTGTAAAATTAAATTATGTATGATATATAATATCAAAATTAATTCTAATAATATTAAAATATTGATAATTAATTATGATAAACTAAATCTCTTTTATCGTATTAATATTAAACTATTCATTTTTAATATAATATTAATAGGATAAAAGAATGAAATGTGATTTAGTTTATAATTATTAATAATTAATATTCTAACATTATTAATTGATTCTGAAACTATTTTAAAATATTTTCAGATATTTAATTCAATTAACAAATTAACTCAATAAAATAAAAATTGAATTGTACTCATTTATATATAATTTAAAATATATATCAATAAAATATTTTTTTATAATGAATAAGTATTCTAAAAATAAATTTCAAAAAATATGAAAAATAATATAAGTTTTTTTAGGAAGGATTTGTTTGCTGAAGAATCAAGACGCCGATGCTAATTGCGTTGAAACTTATAAAGTTTAATTTTTATACATTATTAATGTAAGTTTTATTAACTTTTAAGATGATTATCATAAAACTTAAAAAAAAAAATACTATAGATAATAATAAATAGTTGAATAATAATGTAAAAAAATTGACATTATCAACGAACTATTTAATTTATGTATTGTCTGCAAATTTTTCTTACTTGAACATCTAAAATGTCACTTTAATTAAATTAATGAATAAAATAATAAAAAAATTGATGATTACATTGATACGTATAGTATTTATCAAGTGTAATGATGTTTCAATGTTAAGTGTTTTGTATATTCATAAATTTCATTGTTGAAATTAAATATAATATATATATATATATATATATATATATATATATTTCCATTTTAAATTTATTAAAGTATCTTTAAAAGATAAAATTAGGCTTTTAAAATAAACAATATTAGAACATTCTCGTCCATACTTTAATTTTATCTTTAAAATATTGTTACATTTTTATGTGAATTTTAAAGTAAAAATAAATAAAATTAAAGTATTATTAAAATTCATGTTAAATAGTCTTCTCTCTAAATATTAGAATCACCTTCTCAATTTTTTTTTCATTTAAAAAAAAAACTATATTTTCCTGAAATCAATTCGTCATCCAGATATTAAGTATTAAAATTGTTTTTAAAATGGAGATATTTTTGAATTAAATATGAAGAATGAACACTTTATCATGTGTATTACACCACCCTCCACCAAGTGTATTGAGCAGCCATGTTTAATTACATTTTAAAAACCAAAAAACAATGTTTGCAAATGAAAACCAAACACACCATACACATGTTATTACCTTTTTCAAACAATTATCTAGAATTTAATCAAAAGACATAATGTGATGTCACCAAAATATCATTTGAAATAAGAAAAACTTTATTTGAGGTACATACTTAGTGTCTGCATCATCATAATCTTTATGCTTCGTTTTTCAAACACAGCTTTTTACTTGCATGTGTATGTTGCTGCATTGACACTAAGCATTAGCCTGCATTTGCACAGTGTTTTGTTCTTTCAATTGTGATGGATAAGGTGAAACAGTGTCTTCATTATTCTATTATCCAACTTAAACAATGCTTTGTTCATTTTCAAACCATAATATCATAACACACACATTACAATGCTGCATGTGTTTGATTTTCTGTGAATGTATGTTTTTGCAGGCTTCGGTAATTTGAATAAGTTAAGGGTATACGAAATCGTGTATAAATAAAACAAATTAGTTTACTGATTAATTAAATCATAAAATTATTATAATTTTAACTTTTGAAAAGAAATACATAATTACTCATTATTGATAGGATCTACTAGTTCAAATGTTACAATGGTTAGTCGAAGCGTAACTCTTATTTTTTTTATTTCTATTTTTCGTTACTGAACAATTGATCTGCCTGCAATACTCTTTTTACTTTAACAGCTCCAGCACCAAGATTCGATTATGGCTCGATTTTTCTAACTTTCGACACAGGACAATTGATGCTAGTTACAACAATTATTTATTATATTTTGAAATTATATTTACTCTTATATACTTATAAGTTCATTACAACTTTTTTTTTAAATAAAATTATGACAACAAAAAAAGTTTAAAACGATAATAATTAAGACGTGAGATTTAATCTTGAGAGTGTTATCATATCAGACATTAAATCAGATATTCTCGTTTTTATATTTTTTTTTAAGGTTATCGTGGTCTAGTTTTCTTACAAATATTATACTTCGCCACTTTCCTAAAAAAATAAAATTGGTCCAACATTTATGTGGACGAATTATACTGTAAGACTTTTAAAATTAAAATAAGAAAATATTGCATTAAAAATACTGTAATTTGACTCAAAGTTTATCTTCAAAATTTTTTAAATATTGAATTATTCATTAAAGCAACATAATCAACTTCATTGAGTTTTTTTTTAATAGATAGTGATGTAATCCATCTATTTAATCATTCTTGAATTTTTATCTTCAGTCACGTTTTATTAATTTTAGTTTTGAAAAACCTAGTCAAATATGATTGAGTTTGATCCATTTTTTTAATATTAATTTGAATATCAAACAATTTTCATCACACTAGAGATATTAAATTTTTATTGCTTGCAGTACTCTTTTAATTATAGTCTTATACTAAATAAAATCTTATTGCAGACGCATTCACGCACACAGATATTAAAATGCAGATACAGAATGTATATAGGAGTTAAAGATGGTGTAGAATTTATTCTAAAGGTATGTCTCATTAATTATTAAATTTAAAATATAAAAATAATATTAGTTCTCAAATCACATGGCACATATGCTTCCCATTTATATATGACAAAATCCTCCTTAATATCATCTAAAAACTTGAACATTCTTTTTTTTTTTTTTCTCTTTGACTTGAAAAGTATTATTGGCTTAGGCCATATTCCAAAAGTTGGTGGCATAACACAAGCATCCCTTTTCAAATCACATTTTATTTTATCCTATATTTTGGATGAGATATACACTTGGAAGAAATGTAAAGTGGAATTAATGTGAGTTCCACTGAGAAAAAAAAAAAATAGCAAGTGGGTTTAACTTATTTTCTAAAACCTG